AAAAATTTTAATATTATACACGGTGGGGCAATAACTATTAGGACCTTAAATATCTTCGAATCTATAAGACCCAGAGGAAAATTTGTTTAACCAAAATTGCACGGTACGAAAGGGACTATCATATGACGCTAATAATTTTTGTCCAGATGGAGGCGCTTCGGAGATACCAAGGTCAACTTGCATTTTTTAAATAGAAATCCAAATTTTTTATTACACTGTCTTTTTCTACCAATTAATTTGAACAACTTTTGTCTAAAACATTTTTTTATTTGCCTAATATTTTTTGAGATATTTGAAGAAATCTTGATAACTTCTTCAATATTTAACTTACGATATCTCGCTAACTATTTATCGGAAGAAAAAGTGGTACTAGACATTCTTGCTTTATTTAGTCTTACGAATATATTGTTACAATAGCTTGACTTTTGTTAACTTGCTGATTTTTGGAAGTTTTAAAATCATCAAATGAGGGCACTATTATAACAATATATTCTCGAGACTAAATAAAGCAAGAAAGTCTAGTACTATTTTTTCTTCCAACAAATAGTTAGTGAGATATCGTGAGTTAAATATTGAAAAAGTTACCAAGTTTCCCTCAAATATCTCAAAAAATATTAGACAAATAAAAAAATGTTTTAGACAAAAGTTGTTCAAATTATCTAGTAGAAAAAAACAATGTAATAAAAAATTTGGATTCCCGTTTAAAAAACGCAAGTTGACCTTGGTATCTCCGAAACGCCTCCACCTGGACAAAAATTATTATCACTATGCAGGGTGCACGATTTATCTGAAGACATTGAAATATCTCGAGAACTATGCATTGGATAAAAAAAAGTGGTTAATAAAAATTGTTAGTCTCGAAGGGGGACATCCAATGATACCAAACTCGACCTCCCACCCCACCCCCTGGGTGTGGGGGTTGGGGGCAACTTTGAAATCTTAAATGAAAACCCCCATTTTTTATTGCAGATACGGATTCTACGCCACAAAATACGTAAATTTTGTCCGAAACTTTTTTTTGATTCGTGATAGATGGCGCTGTAATCGCAAAAATTATATTTTCCGCAATTCTCCAGAAATGATAATTGGATTGAGAAATAAAAATACCTGTTCAATATTTTTAAAGAACATAATAAAAGTTATTCCCCTCCATCCTCTCGGGGTAGGGTGGGTGATAACGTTTAAATCTCAAATGGGGACCCATATTTTTCATTGCAGAATTAGATTGTACGTGAAATTTTTATTGAAACAATTTTTTTCATTCGTGATAGATAGCGTTGAATTTTTCCGAGAAACTACTTTTAGCGTTACACAGGAACAACGACGAGGACGTAGTAGTTTTATGTTCCCTTCGGGTGCTTTTTTAATGTGAGTCCCCTTGCCTCTCACAGATCGGGGTGGTTTTTTAATGTGATTCCCCTTGCCTCTCACTGTCCAATTAATTAGAGTAAGTGTTCGAAATTTTTACCTTCAACTTCAATACACTCATTGATCCTTTTTTCAAATGACTGTACACAGGATAGAAGCATATCTGCGGGAAGCGTTTCAGCGCAAGCGTTTCTTATGCGTTCTACCATGTTTTCACGAGTTGTTGGCACTTGTTGATAAACCTTATCTTTTAGGTAACCCCACAGAAAGAAATCCGGCGATGTCAAATCAGGCGACCTAGCAGGCCAATTAATCGGGCCAATCCACCGACCATTGTAATCACGGTCTAATACTTCCCGTGCTGCTATTGAGTTATGCGCTGGGCAACCGTCATGCAGATTTGAACGTTACCACCCACCTTACTCCGAGATGATGGGGGGAATAACTTTTATTATGTTCTTTAATAATATTGAACAGGTACTTTTTATTTCTCAATCCAATGATCATTTCTGGAGAATTGCGGAAAATATAATTTTTTGCGATCACAGCGCTATCTATCACGAATAAAAAAAAAAGTTTCGGACAAAATTTACGTATTTTGTGGCGTAGAATCCGTATCTGCAATAAAAAATGGGGGTTTCTATTTAAGATTTCAAAGTTGTCCCCAACCCCCACCCCCAGGGGGTGGGGTGGGAGGTCGAGTTTGGTATCATTGAATGTCCCCCTTGGAGACTAACAACTTTCATTAACCACTTTTTTTTATCCAATGCATAGTTCTCGAGATATTTCAATGTCTTCAGATAAATCGTGCACCCTGTATATATAGCTCCCTTCGTATCAATTTTGATGCAATTTTGCATCAATTTTGCAATTTTGATTACACAAATCTTCCTCTGTGCCTTATAGATTCGAAGATATTTAAGGTCCTAATAGTTATTGCCCCATCCTGTATATCATTCTATGTTTTCAACTATATAACTGAACATTTAAACATTATATAACTTTATTTATTTAAATATTTTTCTAATAAAGATAAAAATCGCTCTCGCTGAGCATAATTTTGCTCATGATGCCGTTGTTTTTGCTCAATTAATTTTTCAACTCACGATAGTGTTTGAAATTTTCTTTTTCTTATTATTCGATTCTATGCCAAGTTTATCGATTTAAAATGTAATACTGTTTGGGAATAAAAGACGATTCTGCATGGCGGGCGGTCTGGCTTCCCGGCGCCGGCGTTCTCGCGGTCGGCGAGGCGCACAGTCTCTCGCAGGCGAGTGCGCGGCCGTCCCGCCGGTCGCCCGCACCTAGCGAGCAGCTCGCCCCGACGCCGCTACGAGGCACGCCTCACAAGTCTGCGACCCGCGGGCAAGATTCCGCCGGCCGGATATATCAGGTGTAGTAAAAAGAAATCCATTATTTTTCCAATAGATGGCTTTAGTTATCTGTATCTCGTGTTGTATTAGTCCGATCGGGTTCCACTAGATGGCGTTAGAAAGATGAGATTTCGTACTAAAAAAACTTTTCTGAGAGTTTTGTGATTAGTTGACTCAGTTCTGTTTGAGCGCGCGTCAAAGATGGACACTAGCAAAGAGAAAATACGCTATATTTTACAGTTTTTCTTCGATAAAGGCGAAAACGCAAGCTAGACGGCTGAAAATGTGAATAGTGTTTATAGTCCTGATACTGTAACAGCCAATCACGTGCAATTTTGGTTTCGTCGTTTCCGTTCCGGTAATTTCGATGTCAAAGATGCATCACGAAGGCCAATTGTCGAAAATATCGATAAAATCATGGACATTGTCAAGTCCGACCGTCATGTAAGCACTGTTTCGATTGCCCAAGAGCTAAAGATTGCACAAAAAACCGTTTGGAACCATTTGAATAAGGCTGGATACAAAAAGAAGCTCGATGTATGGGTGCCACACGAGTTAACGCAAAGAAATCTCATAGACCGAATTTCCATCTGCAAATCGCTGCTGAATCGCAACAAAATCGACCCATTTCTGAAGCGGTTGGTCACTAGTGATGAAAAGTGGATCACTTACGACAACGTTAAGTGAAAACGGTCGTGGTCGAATCGCGGTGAGCCGGCGGAAACGGTGGCCAAGCCAGGATTGACGGCCAGGAAGGTTTTGCTGTGTTTGGTGGGATTGGCAGGGAATTATCTACTATGAGCTGCTCCTCTACGGCAAAACTCTTAACTCGGAACTGTACTGCCAACAATTGGACCGTCTGAAGGAAGCAATCGCCCAGAAGCGGCCAGCTTTGGCTAATAGGAGAGGAATTGTGTTCCATCAGGACAACGCCAGGCCACACACATCGATAGTGACTCGTCAGAAGCTCCGGGAGCTTGGTTGGGAGGTTCTTATGCATCCACCTTATAATCCGGACCTGGCATCAAGTGATTACCATCTGTTCCTGTTCATGGCGAACAATTTTGCTGGTGAAAAATCCGCTTCAAGAGAGACTTGTGAAAATCGACTGTTCCAATTTTTTTGCCAATAGGGACGAGGGCTTCTATGAGAGAGGCATAATGAAATTACCTTCAAAATGGCAACAAGTTATCGAACAAAACGGCGCATATTTGACCTAAATCGGATCATTCTAACTATGATAATTAAAGCCTTCAATTTCATGCAAAAATAATGGATTTCTTTTTACTACACCTGATATAACCCTGCGCAACGGCCGGCGCGATGCCTTCGCATGGCCCAACGCCGATTGTGGCAACCTCTAGTGGCTGGTCCGTGCGACTTGTAGCGCCCGTCTTTACCGACGTACTCTCTAGGCTTTCCTAGAGCAGTTTTCGTGCATAGTCGAGATTCAAACCAACGCACTCTACACTCTGCTGAGTTGACTGCGGTGCTAATATACCCTGCTGGGTTGAGGCTTTATGGTGAGAATCGACTTTAGCTTTGAATTTGCCTCGCTGCCACGATTCAGGAGCGAACGTGATCGCCTCCGTGTGGAGCGAGTAACTCTCTTTCCGAGCGTCCGTCGAAGACCTTGGCGGTTAGGAACGGCGTTGCCGTCTCCTTGAGAGATTTGCGAACTCTTTCTCGCCAAGTATCCGTCTAGGATCTTGGCGCGAGCAAAAGCGACGTGGTCGCTTCTTCGAGAACTCTGAGCTCTCTGTCCAAGCGTCTTCAAGGCCTTGGCTAGTCGCCCCGGAGCAACTGAGTCGCCTCTCGCGTGACACGAGCTCAGCGCGTTCTCTTGTACATCTGCACGCTTCTCAGGAACGTGGCAGCTTGCAGGCCGTTTAGTCCTTAAGGGCAGGTCATCCGAAATGAAGGAGGTCGTTTCATTCTAACGCTCGTGGACGTGTCTGTTACGAGTGTTTCTCCGGTTTCTCGGCTCGGATTTACGACCCGAATAGGCCGTACAAGACCTGAGTCTAGTATCGTCCTTGACTCCGATCCTTCTGATAAGGGTGTTCCGGCATCCACGTATCTCCGCTCAGTTGTGAGCGGAGTCGCAAACATATGATCCTTCGAGCCGGATCGGAGTCAACGGATCTACTAAGCGATTGATCGGTTCTTTTCGATTTCAATCGTTTCGTTCTTCCTGTTGAAGGAATGAGAGTCGAGGAGTTATCACTTCTCTGGGGACTCTTCTAGCGTCACGACATCATGTCGGATATAGAAAAACTCCTTGCAAAGCAGGATGTTGCTATGAGAGTAATTTCAAGGGCACTGCTTAACTTCAAGAAGCTGGGCAAGCCAAAGTGGACTGGCGCGTTCATCCGTCAACGCCTTGCAGCCTTAAAGGTTGCTTATCATGAGTGCAAGGCTCTTCACACCGAACTCATCATGCTGGCTACTGAGTCGCAGAAGGGCACCATCCGATACTTCGTCAATGACACTTTTGACTTCTGTGGAGACGTTTATCAGAAAACTTCCGATTTCCTGGCGGAAGCGCTTGAGGCTGCCGAACCACCGCAATCTCCACTAAATATCAGTTTGATGTTAGAAGGCGCCCCGCGCCCGACCTCACATCTACCTCGCTTGAACCTGCTAAGCTTTGACGGTAGCCTCCTAAAATGGGAGACATTTCGTGATCGGTTCCGCTCCATGATTTACAACGATCGCACACTGTCGAACGTGGACAAGTTGCACTATTTGTTTTCATGCCTCAAAGAAGAACCGAGCCACGCACTGGAGCATTTGCCTCTCACGGAAACAAACTTTGACATCGCTTGGCAAATTCTTGTCAAACTGTATGAGGACAAGCAAGCCCTCATTCATCGAGATGCATGCTCACACCTTGGTCAATCTTCCTGTGGTAAAAACAGAAGAGGCCAAGGAGTTATGAGCTTTGCGTGACACGGTGAATGCAGCCCTCCAGTCGTTGCGGAATTTAAGTCGCCCCGTAGATTCGTGGAACAACCTACAAACATTCCTTGTCCTCAGTAAACTCGATAAAGCAACCAGGAAGAAGTGGGAGCTCCGCCGTGTAGATACGGTTGATCTTCTCGGATACGATGCGTTGGACAGGTTCTTTGAGTCCAGAATACGAACCCTGAGCGCGATAACTTTGAAGCCATCTGACGGGCGTTGCGACGCTTCGTATTCGAAACCAATCAGATCGAAAACGGTGGCATCACATGCGCTCTCAACAAAACAATCAAAGTGTCCGGTGTGTCGTGCTGCTCACGCGTTGTATCAGTATAAGTCCTTCCGTTCTTTTCCTCAAGATAGGCACCAGGACTTTGTTAACACGCATAGGCGCTGCAAAAATTGCCTGGCCTTGAGCCATTCGGTACAAGACTGTCCAAGCCCGCATCGATGTATGGTGTGCGGACGTAAGCACCACACCCTCCTCCATTCGCCTAAGGAGGCACCTGACAGAAGTCAGTCCTCTTCCGGAGCACAGCACTCCGAACCTGCTGTATCCGCGCACACTGCCGTTGATTCTCACGGGTCGGTCTTGCTCGCAATTGCCCGAGTGCAAGTACGATCCTCAAAAGGCCGAGTTGAGCACGCTCGCGTTCTGCTGGATCAGAATTCAGCAGCAACGCTTGTCTCAGAGCGTCTCGCTCAGCTGCTGCATCTCCCACGTCAACGGTCCAATCTGTGCCTCAGCGGGATCGGTGATATACAATGTCGCGTCCGTCATATAGCTCCACTCATTATTACTCCAAGGCACAAAACCGCACCGTCCTTTAGCACCAATGCTATCATTTTAAGCTTTCTAACGACTTACGTGCTTCCTCAGAAGCCCATGAGCGGCCTTGGGGAGTATACCAAAAATCAGGTACTCGCTGACGCGAACCCGACGAGTTCGGATCCAATAGACCTAGTCATTGGTGCTGACCTGTACGGAAGTTTGATGCTGCCAGGATTGCGCAGGGGCAATGACAATGAATCCGTCGCTCAGGAAACGGCTCTAGGCTGGATTCTTTCCGGTCGAATTTCCTGCCCGAGGCAACCCCTCCGCCTTGCAAACCATCACTGCGCGCAAAGCAATCTGATTGGCAGCGTTCAACGCTTTTGGGAGATTGAGAAGGTTCCTTTCGCGAATCTTCTCAGCGCGGAGGAACAAGCGACGGAAGATCATTTCCATGCGACTCATACCCGCCATGAAACTGGACGTTATATCGTGCGCTTGCCCTTCAAGGCCGGCCCACCAAGCGACCTCAGAGAATCACACTCCGTTGCGCTCGCCAGGTTGCTGCGACTTACCAAGCGCTTGTCCACGGACCCGTCCAAGACAAAAGATTACTCGAGTTTCATGCGGGACTGTGAACCCTTGGGGCATATGGAGAGAGTAACGGAACCTCCCTCGTTGGCTTCCTATTATATACCGCATCATACTGTCTATCGCGACTCAAGCGCTACGTCAAGGGTACGCGTTGTCTTCAATGCGTCGTGCCCGACGTCCACTGGCAAGTCTCTAAATGACTACCTATCTGTGGGGCCGAAGCTTCAAGCTGACCTCGGAGCAATTATAACCGAGTGACGCCAGTTTCGGTTCGTGTACTCGGCTGACATTGCCAAGATGTACCGACAGATATTGGCGGACCAGCGCGATCTCGATTTTCAGCGCATAGTCTGGCAGCCCTCACTCTCTGACCCGGTTGAGGAATTCCGACTCCGTACAGTCACGTACGGCACAGCCTCCGCTCCGATCTTGGCGCTGCGCGTCATCCGCCAGCTCATTGTTGACGAGGGGGATCAATTCCCTCTAACTCGTCCGGTGTTGCAGTCTCTTATTTATGTCGATGATTGCTTATTCGGCGCGGATGAAGTGGCTTCAGCTCGAGCCACGCATGACCAGCTCAGGGCTCTTCTGGCCCGAGGTGGCTTCCAATTGCGGAAGTGGGCAGGCAATGCAGCTGAGTTGCTTTCAGACATTAACCCCGTTGATTGCGCGTTGGCGTCCGACAAGGAGTTGCATCCAGACTAATCGCTCAAGATATTAGGGTTGTCGTGGCAACCCGAACGAGACCTTTTTCATTTTCGCATCCAGGTCGACCCGGGATCGGGCCGAATAAAACGAGAGGTCCTCTCCGCAATAGCGCGGGTATTCGATCCCCTCGGGTGGGTCGCATCTGTGATTGTCGTTGCGAAAATAATCATGCAACGCTTGTGGCAGGAGCATTGTAATTGGGATGAGCCTTTGTCGGAGAGTCTTCACAAGGAGTGGACGCTGTTTCAGAATCAGTTGCCGGCTCTTGAATCATTTTCAATACCAAGGTGGACACAGTACCGGTCCAACTCGTGTCAAGTCGAGCTGCACGGCTTCGCCGACGCATCCACAAGAGCGTATGCAGCTGTCGTGTACGTCCGTGTCATCTCCTCCACGAGACTAATTACAACGACGTTGGTGCTGGGCAAAACGAGAGTCGCTCCACTTAAGACTCTGTCAGTGCCGCGATTGGAGTTGTGCGCTGCGCTGTTGCTCGCACGGTTACTCGCCTTCACTAGTTCTACTCTACGTTCAGTGAAAGCACCACTCTACTGCTGGACGGATTCGTCCATTGTCCTCGCGTGGCTCAGCCAGTCTCCCTCGAGGTGGAAAACGTTCGTACCGAACCGGGTTGCGCGCATACAGACCTTGGTTGAGGGAGCTCAGTGTCGACACGTGCCGACGACTGATAACCCAGCCGACTGTGCGTCGCGGGGCATATCGGTGCAGGACTCAGTTGATCATCCACTATGGTGGAATGGGCCGGCATGGCCGGTCGAATGCGGACTGGGCTGAGGTCACGCTGCGCGCGATTGACACGCTCCCCTAGGATATCCCCGAATCTATTTCGGCCAATGTCGCGACTGAATCTGCCAGCTGGGATCTGGAGCACAGGTTTTCCTCGTGGCCGAAGCTTCTAAAAGTGACGGCATTTATCTTCCGGTTTGTCGTGAATTGTCGATCGAGTAGCGGCTTCCAGGTCCGCCCCGGTGGTGCCACTGGCTCAGTGTCTCTCTGTCCCTCCGATATTGCGGCTGCTAAGCTCTTCTGGCTCAAACAAACACAGCTTGGCATGTTTCAGGATGAACTCAGTTTATCCCGATCGGGACATGTTCGCAGAGCCAGTCATCTTGCCCCGCTCTGCCCGTTTCTCGACGATGACGGGCTAATTCGAGTCCAAGGACGGCTCCAGCACACTAATTTACCGTACTCCGTCATCCTATCATTACCTACATAGCACCGTAATATTGCAGGAATATTACAGAAATGTTGCAGGAATATTACTAAAATATTGCATAAATATGACAACAATATTGCAGAAATATTTAATGTCCTAGGCATAAGTCTCGCAGAAATATTGCGGGAATATTGTTATGATGTTGTAGGAATATTGTCACAATATCACAGGACTATTGCCACAATGTTATTGAAATATCGCCACAATCTTGCAGGAATACCTATGAAATATAGCCACAATATTGCAGAAAAATTGCAAAATATTGCCGAAATATTACTGCAATCGTGCAGGAATGTTGCTACAATATTTCTTAAATGTTGCTGCAATATTGCAGGAATATTACTGAAATATTGCATAAATATCACAGCAATATTGCAAAAATACTTACTGTCCTAGGCATAAATCTCGCAAAAATATTTCAAGCGTGGTCTACAATGGCTGTAAGCAGTAAGAAGTAAGCGTAAGCGGTAAGAAATAAACCAATCACAGTCGATTATGACAAAAATAATCAACTGTGGTTGGTCCATTTCTTACTGTTCACGCTTTCTTCTTATTGCTTACGGCCATTGTAGACCACGCTTTAGAAACACTGCGTTAAATAAAAAAATGTTTCAGACAAAAGTTGTTTGACTTGAAGGGGGACATAAGACAGCGATAGCATTTTGTTAATAGATAGCGCCACTTTCAAGATATTTACTGACAATCAATTTTTATAAATGAAATCCCAACTTTTTATTATATCTTCTTTTTCTACCAATTAACTTGAACAACTTTTGTCTGAAACATTTTTTATTTGCTTAATATTTTTTTGAAATATTTAAGGAAAACTTGGTAACTTTTCCAACATTTATCTTGCGATATCTCGCTAACTATTCGTCGACAGAAAAAATAGCATTAGACTTTTTTACTTTATTTAATATCAAGAATATATTAATAGTGCCCTAACTTTTGTTAATTAAATAATTTTGAAATTTCCAAAGGTCGATAAGTTAACAAAAGTTAGGGCACTATTATAATAATATATTCTTGATAGTAAGTAAAGTAAAAAAGACTAATACTATTTTTTCTTTCGACGAATAGTTAGCGAGATATCGTAAGTTAAATGTTGAAAAGGTTACCAAGTTTTCCTTAAATATCTCAAAAAATATTAACCAAATAAAAAAATGTTTCAGACAAAAATTGTTCAAATTAATTGATAGAAAAAGAAATTATAATAAAAAATTCAGATTTTCATTTATGAAAATTGATTGTCAGTGAATATCTCGAAAATAGCGCCATTTATAAACAAAATGCTATCGCTTTCTTCTCCTCCTTCAAGCCAAACAATTTTTGTCTGAAATATTTTTTTATTTAACGCAGTGTTTCTGAGATATTTGTGATGTGACATTAAAATGGGACACCCTGTATATAAATTGTTTCACACTGCAGTATTACGGCGATAATCAGAAATATTACGTGGCGGTCTGTCATGCTGAAATATAGCGACAATATTCCTATGATATTGGAATGAGATTTATCATCGCGCAATAATGTTGTAATATTGCCACTATGTTGCCATACGATAGTCACATTGTAACATTGCAGTAATATTCCAATGATATTGTCTGATATATCGCTCATCTGTTAAGTCAAAACGCAAATATTTTCGGTAATTATAGTTTCAGAATCATAAATTTTATAAGATTTGTAAGATGCTATAAACCATAATCGCTAAAAAGTTCTTATTAAAATCAGTATCTTATCATTATCATTTTTATAATAAAAATACAGATGTAATGTTAACGTATATATATAAGACAATTTTCAATAATAGAAATATAAATATAATGATAGCATAAAGAATAATGTTTATAGAAGTTCTCAATAAGAACTTTTCGCAAATCGAAAAAATTTTGTCTTATTCAGTAAAGGATTCTGAAACTGAGTACAGCAACCGTCAATAGCGTGACTATAAACTTTGAGCTAACAAATATTAAAGAAATCGCTAATAATTTTTTTCGGGAATAATTTTTTTAAGAGTTTTCGGGTAAGCTTTTTACAATTTGACCATTTAGATCTAAACAAAACGGCGTATTTTCTTCAGTCTCTCTTTTATGAAAATCATTGATTTCTTAAAAAAAATTGTTATTTTATACCGGAAACTATAAAGATCGCGTTATTAACATTTGTACCTTAAAAATATGTGGGTAGTTTTTTTTTCTAAATTTTTTTCAATGTGGCGGACTCAACATTGCAGCCGAAATCACGAATTTCATCTTATATTGATTTTTCTAACGTTTTTTCACTTTATAATGCTAATTTATTCAATCTGTCTGATATATCACTCCGCAACATTGTTATAATATTCCTGCGATATTGTAGGTTGATATATCACATTGAAGTATTACTGCGATACTCAGAAATATTACGTAGTGGTTTATCATGCTGGAATATAGCAATATTCCTATGATATTGCAATGAGATTTATCATCGCGCAATATTGTTGTAATATTGTCACTATGTTGCCATACGATAGTCACATTGTAACATTGCAGTAATATTCCAGTGATATTGTAATCTGATATATCACTCTGTAATATTGTGATAATATTGCTGGAATATTATATAATAATCTTGTGATTTCGTAATATTGCTACGATATTATAATATTGCTTCAATATTGCTGCAATATTGCAGTGCTGTGTGGATATAAAGGCGCACCCGTTGGTCACACTGTTAATCATTAACACGCGTCATCGCGTCTTGCACGCGGGACCCCAGTTAATGCTATCCTTGCTTCGCCAGGAGTTTTGGCTTCTTCGAGCGCGATCAACGGTGCGGGAAGTTCTTTACCAATGTGTGGCTTGCGCGAGAGCGGCGGCCGCCGTCCCGGAACAAATGATGACCTGCCAAACTGCCGTGTCTTGAGGGCTCCACGAGCATTCACGCACACCGGAGTGGACTACGCCGGCTCTATCCTAGTTCGATACGGCTCGGGCCGAGGCCATTGGGCTCACAAGGCGTACATCGGTTTTTTTGTGTGCATGACCACCAAGGCTATCCACTTGGAATTGGTTTCGGACTACTCGTTCACAGCCTTTCTGGCGGCGTATCAAAGATTTATCGCACGTCGTGGCATGCCGACCACAATCTATTCGGATAACGGCACAACGTTCCAGGGTGCCGATCGAGAGATGCGCTCAGCGCACGCCCATGCTGTAAAGCACCCAGGTTTCGCTGACCGCCTAGCCACTGACGGAACTACATGGCGATTCATACCTCCCGCAGCTCCTCACTTCGAGGGGCTCTGCGACGCGGTTGTGCGTAGCGTCAAATCGCATCTCAAACGGTGTGTCGGTTCGCATAGCCTCTCAATGGAGGAAATGTATACTTTCCTCTGTCGTGTGGAGGCTTGCCTCAATTCGCGGCCTATTGCGGCCTTGTCCGAAAGCATTGACAACTATCAGGCGATGACTCCAGGCCATCTGTTGATCGGAGCTCCGATCGTGGCTATGCCAGAGCCCAGTGTCCTCAATCTCTCGGAGACCAGGCTGTTTCGTTGAAGGGTTATCCAACAACTTAGCGAGGCGTTCTGGAAATCGTGGTCACGAGACTATCTCCACACACTCCACCAAACGCTGACGATGCCACCCGAAATGGCGGCATCGTCAGCGTTTGGCTCGCGTGAGTCAAATCGTGCTGGTCGCCGATCCCACAGCAGCTCCAAGCCACTGGCATCTCGGCCGCGTAACTGCATGCCATCCTGGCAGCGATCAGTTGGTCCGCGTCGTGACCATCAAGACAGCCACAACAGTTCTCAAACGACCAATAGGCAAAGTGTGCTTCCTCCCCGTTTCCATCAACTTGGGATCGGAGGTCGACACAGAGGGCCGCACATCTTAAGAATCGGCCCACTTAGCACTGGTAACAAGGTTCGAGATCACCGTCCCGACTGTCGTCTTCTATTTCGACTACTAAGTCGAGGCGGGCAGTATGTTTGGGAATAAAAGACGATCCTGCATGGCGGGTGGTCTGGCTTCCCGGCGCCGGCGTTCTCGCGGTCGGCGAGGCGCACAGTCTCTCGCAGGTGAGTGCGCGGCCGTCCCGCCGGTCGCCCGCACCTAGCGAGCAGCTTGCCCCGACGCCGCTACGAGGCACGCCTCACAAGTCCGCGACCCGCGGGCCGGATATATAATCCTGCGTAACGGCCGGCGCGATGCCTTCGCATAGCCCAACGCCGATTGTGGCAATCTCTAGTGGCTGGTCCGTGCGACTTGTAGCACCCGTCTTTACCGACGTTCTCTCTAGTCTTTCCTAGGGCAGTTTTCGTGCATAGTCGAGATTCAAACCAACGCACTCTATACTCTGCTGAGTTGACTGCGGTGCTAATATACCCTGCTGGGTTGAGGCTTTATGGAATCGACTTTAGCTTTGAGTTCGCCTCGTTGCCACGATTCAGGAGCGAACGTGATCGCCTCCGTGTGGAGCGAGTAACTCTCTCTTTCCGAGCGTCCGTCGAAGACTTTGGCGGTTAGGAACGGCGTTGCCGTCTCCTTGGAGATTTGCGAACACTTTCTCGCCAAGTATCCATCTAGGATCTTAGAGCGAGCAAAAGCGACGTGGTCGCCTCTTCGAGAACTCTGAGCTCTCTGTCCAAGCGTCTTCAAGGCCTTGGCTCGTCGCCCCGGAGCAGCTGAGTCGCCTCTCGCGTGACACGAGCTCAGCGCGTTCTCTTGTGCATCTGCACGCTTCTCAGGAACGTGGCAGCTTGCAGGCCGTTTAGTCCGGAAGGGTAGGCCATCCGAAACGACGGAGGTCGTTTCATTCTAACGCTCGTGGACGTGTCTGTTATGAGTGTTTCTCCGGTTTCTCGGCTCGGATTTACGACCCGAATAGGCCGTACGAGACCTGAGTCTAGTATCGTCCTTGACTCCGATCCTTCTGATAAGGATGTTCCGGCATCCGCGTATCTCCGCTCAGTTGTGAGCGGAGTCGCAAACAAATACGTTTTCTTCGTTTTTTTCATCATAATTAGTTGTTTCTATATTTTGTGACGTGGCAGCCGGGGAGGCGCCCGTCACAGGGCGACCCTCGGTCCTTGGGCGAGGTTTGCGTGGGGGGAGGAACATATCGCGCGAGAATTTCGGGGGGAGAGGAGCCGCCTTGCCTCCCCCGTATTAATTAATGTTAGTGATAGGAGCGTGCAGGTGGAACGGTCCCGCGTCCCCGAGCTCTGTGCCCCTGGACCTATCCATCGAGACCGGAGGAACCAGAGGACGTCACCCATCGGCCGGACCGCCACCTCAGGTGAATGCTCCACCTTCTATATTACCGATTCCCGTATCGCCTTAAAAGATTCTCGCTGCCGTTCCCGTGTCCACAGGCCCGCAGGAATATCCGGCGAAACTGACGTCGCTCCCGTGCTCGAAGCGTGATCGCCGGCTAAACAAAGCCGGCCTAGGCGACGAGACCGCGGGAGCGCGAGCGAGAAGGAGAACGCGCAAGAGTGAGACCGAGCATCCGTCCCGCGGATCGAAAATAAAGATCCGCGGAAGGATTCCCGGGTTGGGAGATCCAACGAGGAACTGGGAGAGACGTGTAGCTCGACACAACAAAGAAGAACGACGAGACACTTCTTTTGGAAAAATAATAAAAGAGCGAACTCCCGTTTCGCTCCTTCTTCTTATCTCTTACTTCGTGAGTCTACTTCCGAGTACTGCGGAGTGAGTATCGCCTAAGACAGGAGTGTCGTTTACCGCTAGCGAAAGAATAAGGATACCGTTTACCGGGCGTGAGAGGAGGAGTTTGGTGGACTGCAGGAGTTTGGTGGAGTTCCACGCGCCCAGGGAGTTGCAGGGGGAGGCGGAATTGCGGAGGAGCGAGGCGAGGAAGGAGGTTGAAGGACCACGCCGCCGGCAGGTTCCCGAATCTGTAAGACCGTCCATCTGCTTTATTGTTCCGGTGTCCCGTGCGTACCGTGTCTCGTTTTAGTTGTCGGCGAAGAGCACAGCTCGAATTCGCGAGAGCACATAGCGGAGTTTACCGTATCGAGGGGTCGGACCGTTCCGATTCCCGAAAGAATAAAAAGTGAGATAATCAAAACGCGCATTACTATTCTTGTGTTTTCCCGACTGCGTCCCGGATTCCCGAACGAACCCTCTCGTCTACCGACTTAAAATACCGAGGGGCTACTGGTCCTGTCGAATTCGCGTGTCTCGGCTCTTTGGTGGTGTTCCGTTTCGTGTTGGTGATCGGTGCAGTCCGCTGCACCTGGCGCCCAACCACTTTTGTGAGAGTATGAACGGTCGAGACGCGTGGACCGACGGCCGTTTGCCGACAGCGAGCGAAAATCGCGTCGCAATTTATATTTTCAGATGTATTTAAAGCAGTTTCATTTAATTGAAAACCACGTGAACTTGATGCTATAGATAATGGTGCAATTTCCGGTTTTTTACTTAACATTGTTGTTAATAACATAATATTCCCACGTCTGTCTTGCTGCTCCCGTTTTATTATTTGCATATTTTATTTCTTTATATTTTTTTTCATTCCAGTCCAATTCACATTACAATTTTCTGCCAACAAATTATAACCTATGAATGTTTATATATGTAGCAATGTTTTTCCACACTTATGTACTGAACTTATGAAAGATTGTACATATTTCTTCATTTCAGTTAACAGTAATTTTATCATCGCATCTGTCCGTTGAATTCTGCAATTCACTAAATGTACAATAATTATTTACCACTTGAGACAATTTTGAATAATACACTTATATAAAATTATTTTAAATAAGGAATTACATACATACCATCATGCACTTCATTTAGCTATTTTTCTTTTTGAGCCATTGTATTTATAATCTAGAGCAAGCCAAATCTGTGGAACTTTAATAAGTGCATTGTAGATATTATTTAACACACAAAACCAACAGAAATTTTACATACAAAGTATAACAACAAACTGGCAGCACAAGCCAAGCATAATCTCTTGTTTCATGTGATTGTTAGAACTTGTTTATATCAATTTTTGAACAGATTTTAATCAATTACAGCTGTTAATATTTTTCAAAACAATACTTTAAGTAAACTGTTATGAATATAACACATTCTGTACATTAAAATTTTTAAATGTATATGTATTATATTTTAAAAAGAGAACTTTTGTTTTGTAAAAATAGATAATGTGAAAAGAATATTCATAAATAATTGAATTTCCTACTTCGAATATTCTACAAATAATATATGTTTTCATAATTACTTCTATTAAATATTTATAATTTTCCTAAAATTTAACAACTTATTGTTTTTTAATGTAATTACTTTATATTTTACAAAACTTTATTACCTGATAAAATATCGTTGATTGTCTCATGCGAATACTGCTAAGTTAGCTTATTCTACTCTACTCGACTACTCGATTTATCGGACAACCCTGAGTTGTCATAAATCATGAAGATAATAGATGGTCGTGCCTATCATACCTTTCAGTCTTAGTGGAATTAACTCTATCTCGACTTATCGTAAACACCTTACATGTAAGAAACTATAACTAGCGGGTAGCCGAGCGAATAAAATCTCCAGGCATATAAGATGGTCTTCTCTTCCGATGTCTCTTCACTCTTTCCAACTGCGTATTTTCAGGAATAGGATAGCGTTCGATTTAAAAGTCCGGGATAGAAGCATTTAACTCAGGTTTAAAGCACTTTAAGATTAAATGAAGAATACTTGTATTTGAACAATAATTTACACTGTACAGTCCGACTAGTACTGAGATCTCCTAGAGCATAGAGTCGACCGCTCTCACACCCGTCTCAAGCGAGAGTCCCCGAGATATGTTCTCGCTTGGAGCCACAAGCTCCTGGAGCACGTTTTCGAATCTTCTATGTACGTGTTTGTGACATATGTCCGGAGTTGTTGATGCGCGCCCTCAACGCTCGAACGGTCTGCCACCTATTGGAGACACTAGCTCCTTCCGGCTTGCCACGCTACAAAATTGTCTTCTCTATACTCTAGCGCTCTCTGGTGAAATATCTTATATACACCTATTGTAGACCCGGCCTTACGGCTTACAACTTACGACACGTATTGTAGAATGACCTTAAGGTTGTACCTGAAATGGTTGAATTCCATTTCCTACGGTCTGCTCCCTTACTCTTAGCCAATGAGAATTCAGTAGCAATATGTAACGTGCGCGACAAAAGCCGGTATTGTGTTTGTGTTTTAACTTGCAATATGTTGCATATGTGGGACACGGAATCTCTTAAGATGAGCTAAGCAGTGACCGAGAGCTACCTAGGTAGAACAAAAAATCATAATAATATAATTATGATATCAAAAAAGTCATTTTAAGACAAATCAAGATAATGTCATTCGATATAGTTTTCGTGATAGTTTGGTGATGTTTTTTTGATATTGAAATGACATTATGGTTACTTTTAGAACCATACATTAAAATAGAAAGTCATAATAACATCAAAGTGACGTCAATATGACGTCAAAATGACAAGAAAATGATCTAATCATGATTACAAAGTGAGTTTTTATAGTCTTTTGTTATTCATTTTGAAGTCACTGTGATTTTTTGTTTAAATGATAATATAGTTTATATCTATACATATACAATGTCCGAAAAACATTTTAAAGATATCATATTTCTAAAATGTGTTTTGGACATGTATATGCCCACACGGAAAAAAACTTCCAATAGACGTCTACTAAACATCTACCATGGAGATTGAAAACTTCCAATGGACGTCCATATGAAATCTAGTAAATCTCCACTGATGATCTAAGTGTCCGCTTCTGAAACGTCCATTGCACTTCCAGTAGACGTTTTAAATGAAGCTTCTATAGAGATTACACGTGCAAATATAGACGTTTAATAGAATTTTTATGGACGTTTACTAGAGATCTTATGAGCAATTTCTGGAGTTTTTACGGATATATTTGAGCATTTATATGGATGATTTTTAGAGGTTGTATGGATGTATCTGGGAATTCATGTGGACGATTGGTAGAGATCGTATGGATGTTTTTCGCAATTTTTACTTAACCTTAGAAATAAAATAGAAGCAACAAATATGGGTAAAAGTTGTTTTTATTCATTTAATGGGAGAACAATACATGTCATACATAAAAATATATAAATATATATCATATATAATTGTCAGTTTCATTTCTTCTGTTGCAATATGCACAAACGTATAGCCAATGTTTTCGTCGAACACCATGTTGATGCTATCCTAACGCTCCCTAAAGGTTGCCAAGAATCTCAATATCCTGAGAAAAAAAGAGATTACAATTAGTCTCACAGAAAAATGATATAACCTGTTAATATTAAAAAATGCACAATATACGTTTCAGCAACTATGACTAAAATACATTTTACTCCTTTCTAACAATTTAACATGTTATAAGAAAAGAAGATTCCACATCTTAGCAAATAAAAAAAAAACTAAAAAGCACAAGACAATCAAGGCACTAATAAAAATTTTTTCATGTGAACTCAATTTATACTATGTAGTATAGAGTTGATATGACAAGATTTAATTTCGGCATCTTTCAACTCCCTGCCTCTTCTTTTCTCTAGCAAGTTGTACAGTCTCTATTTGTACAATCTGAGCACAAAAGAAACAAGTTTGTTCTTCTTTTAAGGAAGCCTCAGAAATGTGCGATACACGTAGAAATCATTACATTTCAAGTGTGTCATATTTCATCATTGGCTATCACACGAAGAAAGCTGAAAAGAAATTGAAGATTGTAGCGGAAACAACAAAAGCTTTATGATACCGTGTTGATTAGATTGTAGTAGATTAGATAATTTACATTAGAAAATTGTAATGAAAATTAGTACAAACTATACGATACCTTGTTACCATATCTTGACAACGTATAAAATTAACATTTCATACCTGACGAACTGCTTCCTTCGCCCTTTGATAAGCAATAATTTATATACTTATCCCTTTACAGTCCTCCCGTTACAATATCCCTGTTGGTCTCCTCATGTCCGGTTGCACGTTTCTCCTCATTGTGGTATCTTGCCTTTGAATGTCGAAACCATTCCATGACTCTTCGTTGGATTCTTCTTTGATCGGAATCCTTCACATTTTGAAGAACAGATCATAGAAAAATAATTTTCATGAAAGATGGCAACAAACTGAGATATATATTGAACAATATATAGTATTGCTTGATAAAATCGCCGGTTTTATATAATTATATTTTGCATGTACTTACTGAAAATCACTTTCATAATTTCTAAATTTTGTAACGGCTCTTTTCCACGTCGGCCTTCCCAATTATATTTTTCCGCTAAATTGTTGGAAAATATTTTGTATAGAGCCCTCTTCACGACGTCATCGACGTTAATCCCTCCTATAGACTTCACATATGCACGCTGCAGAAGAATATATTTTGCATAAAACTATAATATACAGAAAGAGAGGTAAGGAGACGGGAGGAGAGAAGGTGGGGGGGGGGGAGAGCGCATAAAGTTCTATGAATATAAATACAAATTAATATTTATCAACTTACTATTGCTTCAGCGTCTCTGGCGTTTTCTTTTAAAATTTCTTCAACGTCCATTAAATGCGTTTTTGTTTTCAAAGGAAATAATTTTTTCACTTTTTCCATGGAACATTGAGGGTTTTCTGTTCTCTTCTCCTCTTGGATATTTCTTACTAAAATATCCAATAAGCCCAGTGCATGTCTGACATCATATTTTATTATCGTTATTTCTCTGCTCAGCTTTCTAATATGATCCACTGCAAGTATATACTATTATTAATTGGCATTATTGTAACGTCGCAAGACTTGTTGTCATTATCTATATTTGTATGATTATATTATACAGGGTGTTTGATAGCTGATCATGCAGACGAAAGTTGGAGATAGATTGGGTATAGCCGAGAAGAAAAGTCATGTACCATAATGTCAAATTGGCAATAGTTACCGAGTTATTAATTAAAACATGTGAGCCAACGAGCACGTAGAGAGCGGAGGGCGGCCGCAGTAAGCACGTAAACATTTGATACAGGCGGAGTCAGCGAGTGACGATAGGCAAGCGCGCGCGGCGAGGGGCAACGTAAGCGACAATAGGCGATCGCGCGCGACGAGGAGCGATCGAATTTTTTCTTTGTAGCTTTTTCCTTATAGCTCGCTCGCTCTTCGTCGCACTCGCTCGCCTCTTGTCGCTTGCGCTCGCTCGCTCCTCGTCGTTCGCGCTCGCTCGCTCCTCGTCGCGCGCGCTCGCCTCTTGTCGTTTATGTTGCCCCTCGCCGCGCGCGCTCTCCTATCGCCACTCGCTGACTCCGCCTGTATCAAATGTCTACGTGCTTACTGCAGTCACCCTCCGTTCTCTACGCGCTCGTTGACTCACATGTTTTAATTAATAACTCGGTAACTATTGCCAATTTGACATTATGGTACATGACTTTTCTTCTCGGCTACACCCAATCTATCTCCAACTTTCGTCTGCATGATCAGCTATCAAACACCCTGTATAATATAATCATACAAATATAGATAATGACAACAAGTCTTGCGACGTTACAATAATGCCAATTAATAATAGTATATACTTGCAGTGGATCATATTAGAAAGCTGAGCAGAGAAATAACGATAATAAAATATGATGTCAGACATGCACTGGGCTTATTGGATATTTTAGTAAGAAATATCCAAGAGGAGAAGAGAACACAAAACCCTCAATGTTTCATGGAAGAAGTGAAAAAATTATTTCCTTTGAAAACAAAAACGCATTTAATGGACGTTGAAGAAATTTAAAAAAAAAACGCCAGAGACGCTGAAGCAATAGTAAGTTGATAAATATTAATTTGTATTTATATTCATAGAACTTTATGCGCTCTCCCCCCCCCCCACCTTCGCTCCTCCCGTCTCCTTACCTCTCTTTCTGTATATTATAGTTTTATGCAAAATATATTCTTCTGCAGCGTGCATATGTGAAGTCTATAGGAGGGATTAACGTCGATGACGTCGTGAAGAGGGCTCTATACAAAATATTTTCCAACAATTTAGCGGAAAAATATAATTGGGAAGGCCGACGTGGAAAAGAGCCGTTACAAAATTTAGAAATTATGAAAGTGATTTTCAGTAAGTACATGCAAAATATAATTATATAAAACCGGCGATTTTATCAAGCAATACTATATATTGTTCAATATATATCTCAGTTTGTTGCCATCTTTCATGAAAATTATTTTTCTATGATCTGTTCTTCAAAATGTGAAGGATTCCGATCAAAGAAGAATCCAACGAAGAGTCATGGAATGGTTTCGACATTCAAAGGCAAGATACCACAATGAGGAGAAACGTGCAACCGGACATGAGGAGACCAACAGGGATATTGTAACGGGAGGACTGTAAAGGGATAAGTATATAAATTATTGCT